TATTCTATATAACAATTTTCCTTGTTTATTTAATTGCTAACTTTTCATTTAACCTTTTTAAAGCGATGTTTACTTAATTGAAAAATGGTTAAGGTTACATGCTGTTTTAATGTATATATTATTATTATTAGCATTAATAATTGCCTTTTTTAATTTCAAATAGTTAAATAGTTATTATATATAATAATAGTTTTTGTATGTACCGAGAACCATGAAATTATACTGGTATTGGTACAGACTACTGACATTTTGGTACTGTGACAACAACATCTGTAGTATTTTGAGAGAATGTTGTGAATTTGAACCTTTAATCATTACTAATTGATTTGTTTTACACTATGAAATATGGTCTGAAAAATGTTCACAGAGAAGTATGGAAATTTGAGTCTGGAAAAGTATGTAATTTTTACGTTGAAAACGTGTAGGAACTCTTTTGTTAGCTCTTTCAATGGTCAACTAATTTATCAGGTCTTACACTTGTGGACCTCCTGTTTTAAATGTATGATAGCACTGTACAAGGAGAATATTAAACAAAGAGACTAAATATGGCAAAGTTAGTGATATGGTCAATGACATACTGCTAATGGTTAGAAAGTTAAGAGATAACAGCTAGTTAAGTGATAGGACAGTAAAATTTCACAAGGATAATTTTTCAAGTGATAATATGACAATTTAGAGAAGTGACCTGGTATGGTGATGCTGTTGCATTTACATCAGGACAGGAATATACAGGAGTGTAGGGATGGGACATAAATGCATTGCACTGGACAGATACCAGAGAAGACCTTCAGTTTCAGCTCACAGGTGATCATTCACAGGTAAGACATGATGCAAGATACGAAATGTGACGTCAAGTATAACGCTTTCCATTTTATTAAGTTCTTGATTTGTAGTATACAATGAACACGTAACATCAAGAACTAGGTTCAAAATTTGAAATAAATCATTGCTTTAATAGAATTCATAGAATTTACTCAAGTAAAAGGAATTTGAATTCAAATTAGGGTAGTAAACTAGTACATACAAACATCTGTGTACTGTGAACTCCTTATTGTCTGCCTATTTTGAAATTCCTAAATATTTCTGAACAAAAAAAGACAAGATTTGATATAGATATAGAAATCTATTAATAATAGTTGGTATATGTACATAGACCCTCACTTTGTATGCTCACTCACTTACCTCTACATGCCCTTTAACAACTGCCTGAACGCATCAAAAAATGTTTTTAAAATGTTTTAAAAAATTCGCAAGTTCAATTGTTTTCAGGAAAAAATTATTTTCTATAAAAGAATTACTTAAAATGTGGTATAGTGGTATCATTAGCCCTTGTATTTCTGTTTTGGATTTGTCTTCAAAGAGCCATCGTAGGTTTCGTCGACTGTTCCCCTTTAAATCTGCTCAAACCAAAAAAGAAAATGATAAAAATGCCATCCAGAGTGCAACTGATCTCAACAGCAACTTGAAATGGGTCGCATCAGCAGAAGAGCCGAAGGATGCAGTTTCTGTCAAGGACAGTGTTGGGGAAAGTTTTACTTTACTAGTTACTTGAAAAAGTAATCTGATTACGTAACTCGCGTTACTTGTAATGCGTTACCCCCAACACTGGTCAAGGATGAACAAAAAGAGTATTACATTGCATCTTCTGCCACAATGTGAGTTTTGCTTCTTTGACAAAGATGAAATGTCATGTATAACATTGTTACAGGAGCGTATAAGCAGCTCAGTTGTTAGTTATAATGTCATTATGTTTTTAGTGAACAAGGATAACTTTGAGATGATGGAATGGAAGAAATGTACCAATCGAAAGCTTCCACACGTTCGTAGAAATATGTGATGACAACTTTTTTTATTTTTTATAATGGGGACACTGATATGATCATATGTTATTGAAACAAATGAAGTCCTCGCCTTAAACACTGGCTTTAAAATGCAGCATTTAAACATTGTTGAGTATTTCATGTCAAGTGTGGTGACGTCAGAAAACCTAGGTGCTTAAAAATTTCCAAGCTTCCAACAAGAACTGCAAGCTGTCCAAACATACAGTGAAATTGTCAACCAAAATATTGACAAAACAACTACTTACCAAACAGGTAGAACCCATACATTTGGAGTGAATGCAGAGATAGCAGTCTGTGGTAAAATTCTAACTATGGCAAGTATGGGAGGAAAATTTGGGCTTAAATATGACTACAGTCGCTCTCGATCTAACACTACGTCTGTAGTTGAGAAAACCCTGCACTCTGAGGGTATGGAGGTAGAGGTTCCACCCAACCATTCTTGCACCATTGAAATGACACGCAATACCTTCACGGCCGAAGTCACGTTTACTGGTGAAATGACTAGAATGTACAAAAATAATGAAATACGCAAGACCTTCATCCATCAGGAAGTAGTGGAAATTCAAATGCTTGTGAATCCCTGCCAATTGCTCTCTGAAGTAAGGACATGTTAGTCAAAACATAATCAGTGTGCAGCATCTGTATTGGAAAACAAGAGACATATTTTGTAGGTGTATGATTATAACCTAATGTCGTCATCACAGCATCACCTTTAAATCAGACTACCAGCATTGTCGTTTGCCTCAGTTTCATTGTGCATCCTTTTTAAAGAAACGTCTTTATGTTTATTTGTTCATTTTAAAAGTGTTTTTTCTCTGTCATACTGTTATTCAGTGGTTCCCAAACATTTTAAAAATATGGTAGCACCCATGCTATAGTGATCATTTCACAGCATCACTGAAAGAAGAAAAAACAGCAAAAGCTTCATTCTGTTGTCATGAATTCCCCACCTCAATTACGAATTTGACTTTTTGATTTCTTTTTGAAGCTGGTAGCACATTCTGATGGCTGGTAGGCCGTTGTGAAAAACTAGCTTGCTGCTGGAGCTGGTTTTAGACTGGCCAGCAGGGGGTGATCATTCCCTGGCTTGAATGGGTGCAAAAGTCCTAGTGGTTCCCAAACCTGTCCTGGAGGCCCCCCTGCCCTGCACCTTTTGTATGTCTCCCTTATCTAACACACCTGATTCCACTCATTAGCTCGTTAGTAGAGACTGCAAGAACTAAATTGGGTGTGTCTGATTAGGGAGACATACAAAATGTGCAGGGCAGGGGTCCCCCAGGACAGGTTTGGGAACCACTGCTCTAGAGTAATGACTTGCGACCCGCCAATAAAACCAGCGAGAGAGAGAGAGAGAGAGAGAGAGAGAGAGAGAGACGTACTACACTCCCATTAGGAAGAGAAGAAATTAAATAAATTATAAAATCAATTAAAGCTGCAAGCAGCGATGATCAGGCCCTCGCACCCGGGCTCACCGCGGGCGGCTTTAGTCAGCATGCTTTAGCACTTAGCTAAGTGTTGCTAGCATGTTTGAGCATATTTCTAGCATGTTTAGCACACAATGGCATATTTTACTGTGTTGCTAATAGTGCAGCACAGTGTTAAACATGCCACTTCCTGTTGCCAACAGGTGGCGCTATGACAAAAACTGAATCTTTAAATGTAGGTGTGTTCAGGCCAGGACAGTCATCAAACAGGTTAAGTTTGGGGCAGATTGGACACTGCATGCATGTTTGAGCATATTTCTAGCATGTTTAGCACACAATGGCATATTTTACTGTGTTGCTAATAGTGCAGCACAGTGTTAAACATGCCACTTCCTGTTGCCAATAGGTGGCGCTATGACAAAAACTGAATCTTTAAATGTAGATGTGTTCAGGCCAGGACAGTCATCAAACAGGTTAAGTTTGGGGCAGATTGGACACTGTATGCCTGAGTTATGTAAACTTCCTGTTTCACTGCATTAATAGCATGCTTTAACACTTAGTGACGTGACATGACATGACAGTGACGTGACACATGTAGCTACATGTTGCTAGCATGTTTTTTCATGTTTATAGCATATTGCCAGCCTATGTAACACTTCCTTACTCCAAAGGCCTTATGATGACCCTCACCAAATTTGAAGATGATCCGATTAAAACTGTAGGAGGAGTTCGTCAAAGTACGAGCCCTGGAAATGTCAAACACTGCACAAAAATTGTACAGTAAATTCAAAATAACGTACATCCTGTTGGGTTTTGGGTTTTGTACCAAGAGACTTTTTTGTAGGCAATGGTGTGTTACGCATGTGTACCGATTTTCGTACGTGTACATAAAACATAGCTCGAGGCGCACTCCGTTGAAATTTTACAGGTGGCGCTATCGAGCCATTTTGCCACACCCACTTCTGAAACCCATATCAGATGTAAATTTTCGCCAGTTCTGCAAAGTTTCATGAGTTTTGGAGAATGTTTAGGCCCTCAAAAATGCGATTCACTTTGGAGAAGAAGAAGAAGAAGAAGAAGAAACGGAGCAATTCCAATAGGGTCCTCACACCATCGGTGCTCGGGCCCTAAATATTCAAAAAGAGTGGCAGAAGAAGTGGGACATAGCTGATACAGTAAGGTTTTATTATAAAAACAATTCATCAGTTAAAGAAGTATACAATTTTGGAAGATGTAGGAAAGATGAGGTGATTTTAAATAGATTACAATTTGGGCACACAGGACTAAATGCATCACTATACAAAATAGGTAAACATATTAAAGGTAAATGTGCTTTTTGTGGGGTAATAGAAACCGTTGAACATGTAATATTAAAATGATAAAGAATTTAAATGGTAATAATAAAGAAAAAAAGACTATAAACTGGATATTAGGAAAATGATTAGGAGAAGGTAGTAATCAAAGAATAGTAATGGAATATATAGAAGAAACAGGATTAAATAAACGAATTTGATAGTTAAATAAATAAAGCAAATGAATAGGGGAATACACAAGCTGGGTTTTTTGGCATGGGAGCTGAACACGCAGCAGCCAGAAATACAGCTTGGGTGAGCCCGAAATAAAATTAACAATTAAAAAAAAATAATAATAATAAAATATGAATAGAGGCGGGACTATCATCCATGTATGATTAGAAACAGTTGGTGGCGGTATGTGCCTATGGTGCAGAATACGCCAAAAAAATCCAAAGAAGAAGACGTACTACGCTGCGCACGTCATGACGCCATTGCTTTCAGCGCCAGGGGAAAAAATGGCGGCTGTGCAAGATGCACCGATGGAGCTGGACTCAGAGAAAGAGACAAAGCCAGAAATCCTCAGCGATGGGACGTCAAACCTCTCGGGGAACACAGCGAGCGGGACGCTGTCATCACCGCCCCTCACCGCCGGCGGAGCCCCGAAGCAGGAGGACCAGCAAACTTTGATCGCAGTTCTGCAGTTTCTAAGGCGGAATAAACTGACGGAGTCGGTGGACATCCTGCGGCGGGAAGCCTGTTTAGAAGACCAGGAGGACTCCCAGACTCTCGATGGCAGCGGAGGAGGGAAGGGTGACGGGGATGGAGGGGATGCAAACTCTCTGCTCAGCCGGGTGTCCATCGCATCAGCAGCCGCCCCCCAAAGCACACTGACTCCCATCCCAGTCAAGAGTGAGTGTCGCCTACAACTTCTAACTGATGATATTTACCATGCAATGTATCTTTAATAAGTAAAGTAAAGGTGTATTGCACCTTTTAAATCGTTAAAACAGTACAAAATCAGCTTTATGCTGTCCTTGTGTCATGCAATGTTGTAGTTTCCACAAAAGTTTAGTTGCATCAACAATATAGTCCTGTTTTTATTTTGTATATTTGAACAATGAGTTTCCAACATGTTTTACTGTCATTCCACATGCACTTTGTTATGGTTAGTTATGGTTACATTAAGATGCTGGATTTGTTTTTGAAGTTAAAATAGAAAAATAAACATTACTGGAATATAACTATGTTACTGTAATTACTATAAATAGTACTAACTTACATGCATCACAATGTAAGCAGAATTATTATAGTTAACTAAAACTAAAACCGTACAAAACATTTCCATTACTTTGCTTGGAATAAACTTAAGCAACACAACTGTTTCCAATAATGATGATAAATCAGCATATTAGAATGATTTCTGAAGGATCATGTGACACTGAAGACTGGAGTAATGACGCTGACAATTCAACTTTGCATCACAGGAATAAATACATTTTAAAATATATTAAAATAGAAACATTTATTTTAAACTGTAATATTTCACAATATTATTTGTTACTGTGATTTTGATCAAATAAATGCAGCCTTCATAAGCATAAGAGACTTCTTTAAAAGCAATTCAAAAATCTTGCTGATCTCAAACTTTTGAAAGTGTCTATATATAGACAAAAACAGAATCAATAAAAAAAAAAGTGGAACTAGCAAACAAAATCTGCACAATTATTAACATTTTAAATCAAATTGAAATGAAAAATATCAAATTCAAAATGTACACATTTATTCTGTATATTAATAAGGTATAGTAAAATTTCAATACTAAAAATTACACAGGGGTATATATTTAGTATTTTTTATATATATATGTATATATATATTACATACTATAGTACTGTATATGTATACACGCGCATGCATATATATATATATATATATATATATATATGTGTGTGTACATATGTGTATATCTTATGTCTTTGTACTGTGTAGATTTTATTGCTGTGATTTACCTGCTTTTTCAATATGCAGTTATATCATCAACATCTATGTGTGTGATTTGACAATTTGACATTAATGTTTATGTTGTCTGGTGCAGATGACCAGCCGGATGTCAGTGTGGTGCTGTCAGCGTACAGCCAGCAGGGGGATCCCTCTCTGTATCAGGTGTACTACACCGGCCTGAAGAACTTCATCGAGTCCGTGCTGGACTGTCACCGAGCAGAGCTGTCCCAGCTCTTCTACCCTCTGTTCGTTCACATGTACCTGGAGCTGGTCTACAACAACCATGAGACTAAAGCAAAGGCTTTCTTTGAGAAGTAAGCAGCAGATCTTGTTTACGTTGTGGAATTAATCAGAGATGACATGATGATCATCATGTCATTTGATAATAATGCCCATTTTTATTCTGTAAATCTAAACACTGGACTCTTCAGTAGTGGCTTAACCAGTTCGTTTCCTGTGTGCTGATAGGTTCAGCGGCGATCAGGAGTGTTACTATCAGGATGACCTGCAAATTCTCTGCGGCCTCACTAAGAAAGAGCACCTGAAGGGGAACGAGGCGCTGCTGGACTTCCGTACCAGCCGTTTCGTGCTGCGCATTTCTCGAGACTCGTACCAGCTGCTCAAGAGACACTTGCAGGAAAGGCATAATAACCAGATATGGAACATCATTCAGGAGCACTTGTACATCGACATCTTTGACGGTATGCCACGCAGCAAGAGCCAGATCGACAGCATGTCCGGCAGTTTTGCGGGAGAGACCAGACGAGAAGTCAATAAAGCCAAGGTTAGATATGTTTCCGAATGGAAAATATACAGTTCAAAAGTTTGAGATAAGTGAGTTTTTTTTTTTTTTATGTTTTTGAAAGAACTCTTTCCTGCTCATCAAAAAATACAGTAAAACAGTCAAATAAAGCTGAATTTTCAACATTACTCCAGTCTTTAGTGTCACATGATCCTTCAGAAGTCATTCTAACATGCTGATTTGCTGCTCAAGAAAATATTAAAAATATTATCAGTGTTGAAAACAGTTGTGCAGCTTAATATTTTTGTGGAAACCGTGATTTTCTTTTCCAGAAAGTTCAAAAGAACAATAGTTATTTGAAGTAAGAATATTTTGTACAAATAAATGTATTATTTTCTGTAAAAAAAAAAAAATCATTTGAAAGCTAGTGTATTAGGGGTGTTTTGTAATATCATTAAGTTACTCGATGGCATCATAATGAGAAAGTTTGATCTTTGAGGAAATTATGAGGAAAGGCATTTAAAGTGATTTATAAAATCATCTCATAATTGCAGTCTCTTGAATTGAAATCATCTCTGATTTGAAAATGATTGTGTGTTTTAATGATGTATGTTTTGTTTCTAATGGTACCAGGTATTCTACGGGCTGCTAAAGGAGCCAGAGATTGAGGTCCCGTTAGATGATGAAGACGATGAAGCAGAAAATGAGGAAGGGAAGCCCAAGAAGAAGAAAACAAAAAAGGACAGTATGGGCTCCAAGAGTAAGAAACAAGACCCCAATGCTCCTCAACAGAACAGGTATGACAGATGATCAGTATTCAGCTACTATGAAAAACCCATTTCATTCAGATTGAATATACTTGCACATTACCGTTTCAGAAGTTTGGGGTGAGTACTTTTTTTTGGGGGGGGGGGTTTATTCATAAAGGACACCTTAAATTGATCAAAAGTGACAGTGAAAACGTTTTCATTGTTACAAACAATTTCTATTTTAAATAAATTATTTGAATCTTTCGATTCATCAAAGAATACAGAAAAAATTTATCATGGTTTACATGAAATTATTAAGCAGCACAACTGTTTTCAGCATTGATAATAATAATAAATGTTTGTTGTTTATAAATCAGAATCATTAAATGATTTCTGAAGGATCATGTGACTGAAGACTGGAGTAATGGTAATTCAGCTTTGCATCACTGAAATAAATTCAATTTTAAAATATATTAAATAGAAAACAGTTACTTTAAAATAGTGCGGTCTAATGATTAATCGCGATTAATCGCATCCAAAATAAAAGTTTTTGTTTACATAATATATGTATGTGTACTGTGTATATTATGTATATATAAATACACACACATACAGTATATATTTTGAAAATATTTACATGTATATACATTTATATTTATATGTTATTACATTTCATATTATATATAAATATATTTAATATATAAACATATATTTTTCTTAAATATATACATGCTTGTGTTTGTATTTATATAAACATAATAAATATACACAGTACACACTCATATATTATGTAAACAAAAACTTTTCTTTTGGATGCGATTAATCGCGATTAATCGTTTGACAGCACTACTTTAAATCCATTTAAAAACAGACTTGTTTCAGAGACATTATAAAATCTTACCAACCCCAAACTTTTGAAAGGTAGTGTGTATTGGACATGTTTTCTTTTCATTAGAATTTAGATGATGCTTAGAAAAGATTTGAAACTGGATGTATAGTTTCATAATCTGCTATTCTTTTCTCTGTCTGACAGGATCCCTCTGCCGGAGCTGAAGGACTCAGACAAACTGGACAAGATCATGTACATGAAGGAGAGCACCAAAAGAATCCGGCTCGGCCCGGAGAACCTGCCTTCCATTTGCTTTTATTCATTCCTCAATGCCTACCAGGTTGGCAGTGTTTTTGTTGATGTTTAGTGTTGCTTGACTTCACAAATGCTTATTGTGGGTTGTCGCTCAGGGTTTGACGGCAGTAGACTTCACTGATGACTCCAGTCTGTTAGCGGGAGGGTTTGCCGACTCCACAGTCCGCGTATGGAGCGCCACACCTAAAAAACTACGCAAGGTCAAATCTGCAGCAGGTATGTATCTCCATAATCACTATTTGATATCTCACCTTTATTTCAAGCTTTAAAAACAACCCCAAATTTTCCACTTCTGGACCTCAGTGTAAGCAATGTATGATTTCAATTATGCTGTCCGATTCTCTAGAACTGAATCTGATTGATAAAGAGTCTGATGACGTTCTGGAGAGGATCATGGATGAGAAGACGGCCAGTGAGTCGAAGAACCTCTACGGTCACAGCGGGCCGGTGTACGGTGTCAGCTTCAGTCCAGACAGGTATCAGACGTGTCCTCTAAAGTATCTCTAAGTAAAACAAGATAACAGGGAAGGTGTGTAAGCATAAAAACAGCCAATCAATTGCTATGCTATTGACTAAACATGTTTTGCATGATTCGTTACCTTCCTGCCGTTTTGAAGCGTTCCGCAGCAGATCTGACAGTGTGGTTTAATATCTCTGTGTCTCTCAGGAACTATCTGTTGTCCAGTTCTGAGGACGGTACAGTCAGACTGTGGAGCCTGCAAACGTTTACGTGTCTCGTCGGGTATAAAGGACATAACTATCCAGTGTGGGACACTCACTTCTCACCCTTTGGTTATTACTTTGTGTCTGGAGGACATGACAGAGTAGCACGGTACAGTAGATTCTCATTATTGTAATGCTGTTATTAATTAAATCAACATATATTTATGATTATATGTTTTATTTAACTGTTTTTAATACATTTATGACAATGTGGGTTTATTTAAAGGGGTCATGTGATGCTATTTTAAAGATCATTATTTGGTGTAGCAGAATATGTTGACATGCTTTAATGTTCAAAAAACACATTATTTTTCAAATACTGTTCATTATTGTAGGTCCTCTATGCCCCGCCTCTCTCAAACACATCGTTTTCAACAAAGCCCCCTCTTTGACAAGCGCAGTCTGCTCTGATTGGCCAGCTGGCCCAGTGCATTGTGATTGGCCGAACACCACAAGCACAAGTCGGAAACGTAACGCCCCTTACCATAATCGCATTGCTTTCGCACTAAAATACACAGCGTCTCCCTGACATGGCTGCATCAACACTACTGCTGTTCCTGAAACCACGCCTTCTTTCTTTGCGTGCACATTTGGGCGGCATTATGCTAATATTTCCATATAGTGACGTAGATATGTGGGGGCGTGTTAGAACGAGCCGTTTTAGGTAGGCGTGGTTGACTCTTAACTTTTATAAAGAATATCTCTTTGGATTTGAGACTTTAGTCTTTGCAACTTTACAGATCTTCTTTATGCACCAAGAGCTTGTATCACTCCAAAGAGAAAGGAAAACTTGAAATCGCATCATATGACCCCTTTAAATTAGCGTATACAAATAATGTAAATGATAATATATGTATGTGTGTGTGTGTGTGTGTGTGTGTATTAAATGAGTACCCAGAAAAGCGCTATATAAATGTAAATAATTATATATATTCATATTTTCTTTAAGTAAAATTCCCCCACCCCCACCCAAATAGTGTGGCATTATATGATTATCATATAGCTTGTTTCCAAATCTGGTTATGAAGAGACCCATCTTTGAATGAAAAGATATTGCAAATGTTTTGAAGACCTTAATCAAATAGGATATCTTTCTTTGATTCCCAGCCTCTGGGCGACAGATCATTACCAGCCCTTGCGGATATTTGCTGGGCATCTAGCTGACGTCACCTGCACGCGATTCCACCCCAACTCTAACTATGTGGTTACAGGCTCGACCGACCGCACTATACGCCTCTGGGATGTCCTGAATGGAAACTGTGTCCGCTTTTTCACAGGTCACAAGGTATTGAAAGCTTCCAAAGGAGACTGAATGAAATGAGCACTTGACAGGAAGTCCCATTCGTTTAATTTGTATTTGAATTAGCGTTGCATCACTGACTACGTTTACATGGAGTACATCTAATTATTTACCTTATTCTGAATAAGACAATATTACGATTAAGGTTTTTACATGAGTTGCTTTTAGAATATTCCTTTCATGTTCCCGTTTTACATGTTATAGTACATAGTTCGATTAATGGCACACGCACGTCATTACGTCACCACGCGATGTCCCCTCCAGAATTTCACGTATAAACATATAGTTCGTCTTCATTATGATGCCATACACAGTTTTGGGTGTTTCGTTATTAATTTACTGAAAGCTTCAAGTGCAGTTCATTATTTGTCATGCTATGCATGCAAACAGACGACGGCGTTGTTGAAGCCATTCTTTTGTTTGCCGTCAAACGGTTGACCACTGCCGTGTGTGTATCCTGTCGCAAAATGCGGCGAAAAGTCCTACACGAGGGTAATAATGTGATTAAGGTGTACATGTATTTACTGCACTTCCATAATCTGACTAAAATAGGAATACTCCACATGTCTTAATTCGATTAGTGTTTACTTCGATTATGACTTTAGCCGGATTAAGGTAATCAAAAATCTCTGTTTACATGGTAGATTCTTAATAAGAGTATTGTCTTAATCGTATTAAAATCGGAGTATTGTTGCCCATGTAAACGTACTGACTGTCTCCGTGACATTCTTTCTTTATTCATTTTCTCCCTCTCAGTGTTATTTATGTAGCCTTAGTATTTATTAATATTATGATTTTTTTTGTTTTAATTTTAGTTTTAATAATTTGTTTGTATTTCTGTTTTAGTCATTTTAGTACTTCAGCTTAAACATATTGTATTTCAATTAGTTGCCAAGGGAATATTACTCATTTTCTAATTAAGTTTTTATTCTAATTTATATATTTTATTTCAGCTGCTGTTCAAAACACTGATCCTTGTCATGCCATTCAAAGCCTTCACTAACAAACCTGCTTAACTTTTTTTTTTATGTCCATCTCATTTGTAATTTATTACCCAATGGCCTTTTTATAAGCTTATTTTTTCCATATACAGAGTCATATGAGTAATACTGTAGTAAAAAATGATAATGTTTGTTTTCAGGGCCCCATCCATTCTCTGGCATTCTCACCCAATGGAAAGTTCCTGGCATCTGGATCCACAGACGGGAGAGTTTTACTATGGGATATTGGACATGGACTGATGATCGGAGAGCTGAAGGGTCACACAGACACAATTTATGCCCTCAAGTTCAGCAGAGATGGAGAAATCCTCGCATCAGGTCAGCACACAATCTGCTGAATGCCTTCTGTCATCTGATTGATAGTTCGTTTGCTTTTTATTTAGTAAGTCAGAGGCATTTTAGTATAATTCTAAATACGTCCCATTTTATGTCGTGGTATGAGTCTTTTGCTTGGGTTTACTTGATAATCCATACATCATTCTTTAAAAATAAATCATGTTAAAATGTATGAAAAATGATACATCAGGCTTTTAAGAAACATTTATTGTATTGTATTGCATTGCATTACGAGATCGGTCTTCTGATTAGTCAAGTTATCCCGACTCATAGCGCAAAGTCACATGACTTTTTCAATGTGCATGGTGGAATTTATTTGGTAAATGTGTTTCCATCGTAGTTTATGCACATTTTTTCTTATCGGATAAAAAGTTTATGCTACTCAATTGTGCGCTTAAGTTTTTTATGCACATTTTTAGAATTTATGCGCGTCTTGGCGCATAAATCCAGTGGGGTTTTTTTTAATGCGATATTCCAAAATGTGCATAAAAATTGGTGGATGGAAACATAGCTATTGATTTACAGGATATCAGAATTTCATCTTTCAAAATATGCAAATTGCATATTTTTGCTCATTTTGAGCTACTGAAAAAAGTTTTTCCTCAAGTATGAGCTCCATATTCTTCTATATCGTAATAGATTAAAGGTCCCATATTTTACACCTTTCTGGAGTTTTATTTTAAGTCTTGATATCCTTAAGAATATATATTTGCGGTATAAGATCCAAAAACCATCTCAATATATTTTTACAGCTCCTCTCTCAGGAGCTCTGCTGAGAACAGGTAGATTTTGGCCTTTCTAATTAATATCCATGAACCTCTCTTCTGATTGGCCTGTTGTTTTCTGAGTGACGCACGGCCAGGCCAACCACAGGTAACTAGGGTCAGCCGACATCACAGCGCTAGCTGGAGGCAGCAAAACAAAGGGGAAACGGGTAGGGGCCCATTCAAACCAGCGCAGATTCGGCTACATAAGGAGCTTAAAATATCATCTTGTTGTGATGTTGGGTGCCAGAATCGACGTAATACAGCCTCAAATGAGAAATTTGATCACATATCTGCTGCCACTGCCAGACAAAAAACTGACGAAAGCTGTGGTTAAACGCGATAAAACGAGCAGACTGAACAGAAACAATCATCAAAAATGCTCACGTTTGCAGCGCACACTTCTTATCAGAAAAAGTTCAATAAAATATTGTCTTTTGTTGTCATGGGCGCGTCAACCGATTTCATGCCATATGTCTATGTTTCTTGCATCTCACGACTATGTCGTGTATGAAATAATGTCTGAGTGCATGTGTGTAAAACAACAAACTGACGACTTGTATATGATCATTTGTAATTGTATATACATTGTTGTGATTAATTGTGGCTGGAACAATAATGTAGCTGAAAAAATAGTTTCCTGCTGAAATTGAAATGTATATACATCTTCATCATGACTAGATAGACACGGTGAGTTTGTCTTTACTATACAGGTTAGATGTGATCCACCTCATAGTAACAATCCTGTCAGTCAGATCGTCCATCCTTTGAGTGAGAGTGTAACGTTACAGGTCGGCCGATCTGGTTTCGTGGTTAAAGTTAACCTTTACGACATGTTTCCGTGTTGTTGTTGCTCAGCAATGGCATGGACGCACTGTTGTCTGGTGGTTTGGCAAAAGGAGAGTGGTACTGTGGGCAGTGCTCGGGGTGGTGACTGAAGGCGGTGACGGTGTAGTTTTGACGTCAACTTTTTACGGAAGTCACAACGGTTCGTGAACAATCACAGCTACTTTATGCAGGCTGTGTGCATTTTACTGACTGTTTTGAAACTTGAAGACCTCAGTTATCATGAAAAAAAGCCAGGAAATTTCAGTTTTGTCAATATGGGACCTTGAAGTATAAAAGCCTTTGTATCAAATATTTACAAAAATACAGAATACAGCAGGTTTTTAACCCCTTTTTTTTTGTCTGAAGGTTCAATAAACGGTTTCATTTAAGAAAAATAGATTTTTGCACTATTGTTTCACATGTCAGTCTTTACAGGTTTAATAAAAGTCAACTTGAAATTCTGTGTTTTGCTCCAGGCTCTATGGATAACACCGTTCGGCTATGGGACTCCATGAAGGCTTTCGATGACATGGAGACCGACGACTTCACCGCAGCGACGGGCCACATTCCCCTGCCGGATAACTCCCAGGAGCTGCTGCTTGGGATGTATCACAGCAAATCCACACCTGTCACCCACCTTCATTTCACCAGACGCAACCTGCTACTGGCCGCAGGCGCGTACAACTCCCAGTGACTGGGTATTGAGGACAATGACTTTGCGTAGCTGTGTTTGTTTTTCATGAACGGTGCATATTATTTAAAGATTACTGCTCATCCTAACATGTGAAATAGGTTCAAGCGAAGTAAAAGACATCAAACACGGAGCATACATGAGCTACCTGGGAGCAGCCACCAATACCTCTCGCATCGTTCAGATGCTGATCCTAGATCAGATTTTACACCTCATGCTCACGAGAAGCTCGTTTCTTTTTCTCATCGATAGCATCACTGCCATGCTTGTTTTCAAGGCCCTCAATGTCTCACAATGATGTGGCTGGTCTCCTTTTGTCTTTGTAAAGGAACTTTTCCAATTCAGAAACTGGTTATTAATCTTTGAAATGTGTTGCATATGAACACTCTTCTCCATTTCTGTACAAATTGTAATACTAGTGCCTAAAATTGTAAATAAAACAAGTTTTCTACACAATGTCTGTTTGGTACAAGTGATCTTTTTTTATTCTTTACATAGTTAAACTGAAGTGATGAGGTCAAAACAAGGACATCCAGCTTCCCGCACCCCTAGTTTCATCACGAAACATCCTAAACACAGAAGAAAAAGAGTTGGAATTAAACTTTTGGAAATATACATACATTTTGGAAAAGTTCAATTTAGGCAGCACTTACTATAAATTAACTTGATTTCACAGCCTTTTGCTTCTTGGGCTTCAATTTGAAGAAGAGGATGATGGCAGCAATACTGGTGTATGTGGCCAACACACACTGAAGTCAAGGGAAAAACAGTCTGCTTTACTTAAATACTTAATGTAGTGGAAAATACAAAGGCAATGCTTACTTGAGTTTAATTGCATAGTAATGGCAGAATTTGCATTATTCGAGTGTAATTCAACTTACATTCCTCCTGCCTGTGATTGTGTATGAATTGAAGTACTTGGCGATGCCAGTGAACTGGTGCTGAGTTCCTGCGTCGTGTCCTCCCATGATTTCTGTGAGCAAACTGTTGATAGACATATTCATAAATGAAAATAAATACATTCAACGTTGCGCATATTTTTCATAAATACGTAAGGTCACGCAAAACGCATAAAGGACAACACTGCTTATTGGAACAATGACAGTTTATTTTCTTCTGAAATATAGTTGTAGAACGAGAGTTTATAGGACATTTCAATAATGTTTACAATGCAAAGATGTTCAATATTATAATGTGTACGTTATATTAGCTCCTCAGTCCGTTTGCTAAACCTTAAGCGCCTTTATGGTAAATCAATGCGACCTGCGGGCTTTACTGAGCAGTATATATTCGCTTTGCAAATAATATAAAAACAGCATCGATTTCTAAAACTCGCTGAATATAAGGCATTTCTATTAAAATGTGAAACGTGACTTACCAAGCGAACTGGTGCCCTTCAACGGAGTAGCCGGAAAGTGAATGATTTAAGGAAATCCCGCCCTCGCGGTGATAGCCTGAATGAACAGCAGTCATTGGATTACGATCACGTCAATCACTTTTTACACTAAAACAATAGGTTCGCAGAGACGTCAATCTAATTTCCCCGTCATTCTATTGGTTGAGTCTTTTCTCTGCGGTGTAATCTTAAGTCCCGCCTCTCAGTGTTTACGTCCGGGTCGTACAGAACGCACGCTTCTGAGGAACATGATGTGAGATTTACTTACACAGAGAGTTTTACATTGAGCTACGCAACGTTTTATAGCGTAAGTAAAAATAATTCGGTTTTTTACCTCTAGAGGGTTTTTACTGGCACATGTTGCGTGTTTAAATGTAAAGAATGTGTTGATTAAACGTTGTATAATAGTATATGTTGTGTTTCTAATGTGTCCATGCCTGCAGTTTTGTAAAGACATGTGGGCAGATGTTAGACAAGGCAAGGATTCTTGTCTAAAAGACTCTATGTTTTATGCGTTTGTTTCTTTATTGGAATTCATTAGAGCCTTTATATTTAGGTACGTTACATTGTGAAGAATGGCGTCTATGGAGGAAGATTTTCCTCGTGGTGGGACAGAGAAGAAGACCACCGAGTCCAAAAATGTTAAGGCACGAGACGTGGACAATCTTTTTGAAGTAAGATGATGATAATGATGGTAGTGAGCAGTGTTGGGGAAAGTTACTTTTAAAAGTAATGCATTACAATATTGCGTTACTCCTTTAAAAAAAGTAACTAATTACGTTACTTAGTTACTTTTTATGGAAAGTAATGCGTTACATTACTTTTGCGTTACTTTCGCGTTACTTTTTAAATATAAGCAGGGCTTGATTGTTTTTAATATAAGAAGTTCTATTTATAGCAAATGTAAAAGCCCTTACACACCAAAAAGTGTAATGAATAAACCTCAGGCTGAAGCAAAAGTAAATTCACGTCTGTACAGTAGAACGCAGAAGAAGGAACACTCTTCAGCAATAAATAAAACAATGAAGCACAATTGTTAGTTTATCTAAATTAGTATGGTTGAGCTGGATCATCAAAGGTCAGCAGCAAAGACATTGGTTAATAAAATGGGATTAGAT